TTAATTCTCCTAGATAAGTGCTTTGCTGCTTTTTATTTGTGCTCTGAAAGACATTTCTTCCTTTCTAATGTAGAGAGAAGACAAACGTCTGAGCACTCCACTTTGTCACAAAATTGGGTTCTTGTGTCCTGGCCAGCCTTGCTTTATAAATGTCATTCAGAGCACTTAACAGTGCTTAGCAAAGCCTTGCTATGGGAAAAGCCTAGATAGAAAAATCTCTTAAAGAGAAATGAAAAAGTAATTTGAGGATGTTTTGTGCCAATCAAGTTGTTCTTACTTCCTGAAAAGAACACAGTAGGAGTTCCTCTGTCTACTGTCACTTACAGAAAGTCCACGGGAATACTTTGTCAGATAAGCACAATATATTCTTGTATTAAGTGGGTACTGTTTCACTGCTTTGGGATTCCATTCACTTAGCTTAAGGCAAAAAGTGAAATAAAATGCATTACTACTTATGTACTCTTGAGGCATATATAATGCAAATATAATGCTTTAGCTTCAGGCTAAAACTTGTAGCAACCAAGTGGTAGCCCTCCCTGTCCTCCCTCTCAGTCCTGTGAGACAAGTTTGCAGGTCCAAACATAATTCCAGCATGTCTCTGAGCACAGACAGATCATCTATCTGTGTGTGTATATTTCACCCTAAAATTTAGGTGAACCAATAATGGCAGCTCCTGTTGCCTGATTGGGTTTGGGTTTTGGTTGGGGTTTTTTTTTTTGAGGGGGGAGGTTGTGGGGAAAGGATTGTGTTAAACCAATAGATAAAACTTCCTTGTAAAGTCAGGTGGAAGGTGCTTCATGAACTTTGCGAACGTCATTTGTGAACAGGTTGCCCAAGGAAGTTGTGGATGCCCCCTCCCTGGAAGTGTTTAAGGCCAGGCTGGATGAGGCTTTGAGCAACCCAGTCTAGTGGAAGGTGTCCCTGCTGATGGCAGGGGGGTTGGAACTAGATGATCTTTAAGGTCCCTTCCAACCCAAACCATTCTATGATTATGTTTTGTTCTTGATATAACACACACACAAAGTGGTTCCAAAAGCCCTAGGTCGAGGAGAGGATAGCAGGGAGCTTGGAGGTTGAATAGAGGCTGTGAAGGAATATCTGTGACAAAGGGAATTTCCTTCAGGACTGGAGAGGGTGAGCGGAATTTGTTGCAGCACTGGCAGTGAGTTGACTGGAGGCAGAGAGCTGCTTGCAAGGACAGGGTGGGTGATGTTTTAATTGTGTTCAAGCTTCTCTTGAGGTTTTGTTAGTTTTTTTTTTTCCCGCAAGCCTTTTGTCATCTGTAAATAGTACTGTCTAAGACCCAGGCAGTTTCACCTCTGTGCTTTTGATTTGTAGTCACGTTGCAAATATGGGAACAGGACAGCAAGAGGTAATAGTCGCTTTCCCATTTAATATCACAGATGGGATTACTCTCTGCTGCTGTTCTGGGGGTCATAGAAATGCCTGTCTGTTGTAGCTAAAGGCTGCCTCTCTCACCTCTGGTATACGTGCTCTGCTTGTAAAAGACGAGTTGAGCCTCTGGGAAGCAGAAGATGGTGGTGCTCCTGGTTCCATCTAACTCTTGCCCTTTCTGAGCAGAGATTCTGTCCATCCTGATGTGCCAATCAACAACCTGTTCTTTGACAATTGTATTTTTATGCTTCTGTACAGCTTCACCTTCCCC